ATGTCAGAGGTATTCGTACGAAGACACCGACTCTTCTGAATTCGTTGTGTGAGTCTTGTTTTGATGTTGTCGCCTTGTCGGAGACATGGCTATCCGATGATATTTTTGACGCTGAATTTTGTCCCGATGATTGGATTACGTTTCGGGGGGATCGTAATTTTGCTGCGCATGGCCTGTCTAGGGGAGGTGGCGTTTTGATTTGTCTTAAGAACACCCTAAAAGCAAGCCAGCTTGATCTCTCTGATTTATCCAGAGTGGTACCAGTAATTGATGTGGTAGGAGTCAAGATTCAGGGAGTACGTGGGAAATTAATATATGTATTTGCTTATATATACCACCTTTTGCCACTTTTGATGCATTTGAACTATTTTTTGACACGTTTAATTCGTTTGACTATCTGGCTAATGAATGCGTTGTTCTTCTTGGTGATTTTAATGTCCCTTCCTATACTTCCATTGGTACCAATGATAGATTTAAAATGACTTTAACAAATTTCCGACATTTCCATGATTTTCGTCAGTACAATTCAATTGTGAACACCAACGATCGTTTATTTGATCTGATCTTTGCCAATATGAGCTACACAGTCACTCGCGATCTCGATCCGTTGCTTGCTGAGGATTCCCATCATCCCGCTTTAGCGGTTGTTCTGGATTATGCTCCCCAGGTTTCCATGTTTAAGCATCGTGGCCTACCCACCTATAACTTTAAGCGTGCAGACTATCCTTTGTTGTATCGGATGTTGGGTGAGGTGAATTGGTCGGACCTGGATGGTATTAGAATGGTAGATGATGCATGCCGGCTTCTTTATAACAAGCTACACGATGTTTTTGATTTAGCAGTGCCTAAAACTGTGAGAAATTCTACGAATCGTCGTTGGCCTGCTTGGTTCACGAAGGAGATAAGGGATTGTATTCGCATGAAGGAGAATATGCGCGCAAGGCATAAGCGTAGTGGTTCACTGTATTGCCTGAATGAATTTAAACGCTACAGATGTCTATCGAAACACCTCATTACCGATGCATATAATGCGTACATGAACGATGTTGAGCGATCTTTGATTTCTGATCCCAGTACCTTCTGGGCCTATATTCGGTCACGGAAGGGCGGTACTCGCATTCCAGGCCTGATGACAAATGGAAACCTGGAGTTCAGTTCGGGTCGAAGTATTGTGGATGCTTTTGCTGATTATTTTGAGTCCGTTTATATTCAATCTGATCCTGTTTTTGTGGAGTCTGATTTCCCCGATCATAGTCTTTGTTTGTCAGTGGAGAGCTTCAGCTTGGAGGAGGTTGAGGATGCGTTGAAGCGTACAAAGAATACACTTACTGCTGGAGTCGATGGGATACCGAGCTTTTTACTGAAGGACTGTGCTTCGATTCTGGCCGCCCCATTGCTTTCGATTTTCAATCTGGTCCTGTCTACTTCTACCTTTCCGTCGTTATGGAAAGAGTCATACGTCTGTCCAATTTTGAAGAAGGGCAACCCTGCTGAGATTGTGAATTACAGACCTATATCGCTGCTGTGTGGTTTCTCGAAGACTTTTGAAAGCGTTCTTTTCAAGCACATCTCATATCATTTAAGCAAGTACATAAGCCCAGTCCAACACGGATTTGTTTGTGGTCGATCCACTGTCACCAATCTGACATGCTTTGCCCAATTTGTTGCTGATGTAATCGACGCTAGAGGGCAGGTAGATGCTGTGTATCTCGACTTTCGGAAGGCGTTTGATCAGCTGGATCACTTTATCTTATTGAAAAAGCTGAGTAACTTTGGATTAAGTGCCCCACTGTTGTCGTTAATGAAATCTTATTTGCTAGGTCGGCAGCAGTTTGTTAATTACGGCGGCTTCACTTCCAGAGGATTTTCTCCAACTTCAGGGGTTCCCCAGGGATCCAACCTCGGTCCATTGCTGTTCCTGGCTTTTATTAATGACGTATCCGAGATCTTGGATTGTGAGAAGCTGCTATTCGCGGATGATTTGAAGTTATTCTCGGCTGTTGGGGAACTCAGCGATTGTGAACGCTTGCAGAAAAACCTGATTCGTGTTGAGCATTGGTGCCTTAGCAACCGTTTATCACTTAATATTTCTAAATGTTTTACCATGACATTTTCTAAAAAAGTAAACACAATTGACTGTGCATATTACTTGGCCAATCAACCGTTGATGTCCGAACGTAAGTGCTCTGACCTTGGGGTGCTGTTTGACAGTGGACTGACTTTTAACGAACACATTCTTAACTTAGTTGCTAATTGTTATAAAATTTACGGGTTTATTGTTCGAAACTGTAAGGGTTTGTCCATCAGATGTTTATGTACGTTGTATTTTGCGTTGATTAGATCGCGGTTAGAGTATGCGGTAATTGTTTGGTATCCGTTCTATCAGTTTTACGCGAACGCGCTTGAATCTATACAAAAGACATTTTTAAAGTACCTATGCTTTCGACTGGATCGTGTTTACCCGCCTAGGGGTGCAGATTACGCGTTTCTCCTTTCGCGGTTTGGTTTTCTTTCACTACAACAGCGCAGAGTTGTTTACATAGTTAAATTTATTCATAAACTGTTGCATAATGATATTGATTGCGGCTGGTTGTTGGAAAGGTTATCCTTTCTTGTACCGTGTCTCAACGCACGCTGTCCCCTCACGTTCTATAATTGCCGTAGTAATAGTAACACTTTACGAAAATCTCCTGTCTCGTTGATGTCCGATTACGGCAATCAGGTTTCGCCGCATTGCGATATGTTTTTTCATTCCTTGAACACGGTGGTTGCGGTAACTTTGATTAATGGTACGAAATCTCGCTGATGGAAACCCGGCCGCCTTATATAGGCGCCCTTGGGTAAAACCCTATCAACCGGGCGTTGTGGTTGGTTGGCGACCGTCCGATCCGCAGGTAGAGTTGACGACCAATGGCCAAGCAGATTGAACGGCGCTCAATTCGTACTTGGCGACACTACCCCGCGAGCTCTAGACTGACAGTAATTAAATATTCATTCAGGTGTTCCAATTGAATCTCCATTCAAATGTTTCGTTGTGTAGTTATTCAAAGTAAATTCCTTGTATCCTAATATCATATAGGGTATATTCAAGGCTTGTGGGTTAGGAATAATTAAACTTCAATACCACACTATTCGATATTCACTCTTGAAGAAGTATGACACTTGCAAACGTCAAAATAGCCATTGCAAACATTTTGTTCGAAGCAGATATGGGAAGAATGTCTTCTACATATTTTTATGGCAGTACCCCACATCTACAAGTATCGTACTGGTCATCATCTGAAAGCTGTAGATACAGGTCTGAAATATATCATCTGGGAGACAAGTCCTGTATTATCTGATTTGCTCACTTTACACCCTGCAATTCATCAGCAACTACACAATACACAACAAGGGCAACTACACGACATTCAACAAGGGCAATCATACGATATTTATCAGAGACAACCACAAAGCACCCAACAAGAATAACTACGGTACCATTATTGCCTTTCTTAGATTTGTATCCATTCTTTCGATTTTTCGACCTCGAAATCGCTACAAGGATGAACTGGAGAGGGATCTTCAAAGTATGGAGGTGCGAAATTGGAAAGGCAGAAGATACTTACTCTTGGTTACTTGATAATTACGTCTCCCAACAATCAATATATTTAAATCTAAAAAAAAAAATCAAAATATTTGCAATATTACAATAGGTTATAAATAAACAGTAAACATATAGGTATTTAACGTTTACTTTGAAAGCGATTAATTAACACTACACCTATCAACTCTAAACATTTTCTTCTTATAATTTCACCAATACAATTTTCGGTTACGATTAAATTATAATTTCAAACTTAACCTAAATAAAAAATAAAAATAAATCAATCGGAATGAGACTTTTAAAAGTAATTTCTCACGAAGCATTTAATTTAAAGACTCTTCAACATAGCGTCGTACGCTTGATAAACGAACGGGGCCACCTCTAACGATCTCGTTTTTAAGCTTAAAGTAGCCGTCGTCGATCCGGGTTGAGTCTTCAACTCCAACAACACCCAAATTCCATTAGTCATCTTCAAGCTTTGATACAACATATCTTGCCCTTCAACCGTCCGCTTGGCGATTGTAAAAATGTTGTTGTAACTCATTTTATTCGCTATTTGATCGGAAGTCGCTTTCACCTCGGTGATGGTGTATTGGACTTCGTTGGCCGCGGGGATATCTTTCCAAGTGCTTAAAAAGAATTTCTTTTCTAATTGACCATCTTCGCAAAATAAAATTTGTAAAGGGATGCCGCAAGCGTAATAAAAAACGTCCACGTTGTTTTTAACGGCTACTTGGAGATTATTTAGCGGTTCCATGCGTTGAACTGGGCCTGAAGTGTTTAAGGAGACGGTTGATTCAATACTTTGGCCGGGTTGGAGAACCCCGACGGTTAATGGGGCGGCGGGGGCTACACCGAAACTGTTTTTATTGAATTGAATTGCAAATCCGGTCATTGCCTGAAATTATATTAAATTTGTGGTTAAAACAACTGTTTCTAAAAATGTGTGTGAAATGAAATTGGTATAATTTGGTACAACCCTTGTATATAGATTCTATAAATAGAGTATTAAAGAGTAAAAGGAAGTGTTTGGAAAAAATGCCACGCCAAGACCTAATATTAGCACAAAAAATAGAAATATTAAATAAAATTTGTATTAGCATTTTTAGTATTTAGTATTTATTGTGCGATCAAACATACAATGTTATGTATGAAACGTACAAAAGTCAAAAATGAAAAAAAAAGGTAACAATAAACAAAAATTATAACATAATAATTCTCTAGTGTCAGGTATAAAGGGCTTAAGTCACAAAATGGCACTTTTCAATATAGTAACAGAGTTAAGTCAGTTTGTTTTTCCCTTTCGATTGGTATTGTGCGCTTAAGTCTAACACCAACTGCTGCTACTATTTTAACCGGTCTATAAGTGTTGGGTGGTTGTTAGACAACCTGTAATACGGGAGTTGTAGAATAGACAGTTAACCTCGAGACTCGGAGCGTACAACATGGTGTCAGGCGTGGGGTTATACTGAAAAGTAGAAAAGCGAGGGAACGCGATTAAATTCAGTGAAAATAAATAAACGAAAGGATTAAATTCTAAAGCGATTAAATTCAATAATAAACAATGGCAAACGTTGAAGACCTAGCTCAACAAATTCAGGACCTGCAAAATTTGGTTATAAACCTACAAAAGCAAACTAGAAAAGAGCCGACGATGGTAGCAACGCAAATACCAGCACCGGAGAAATTTTCGTTCGTAAAAGAAGAGTGGCAGTCATGGATTACTCATTACGAAAGGTACAGGTTAGCAACTAAGTTGGACGTGACAGATGAAAGAACCCAAATTAATTCACTGTGTTTGCACATCGGACCGGAAATAACGAAATTTCTGGAAACACAATTTAAAAAAGAAGAAAGTTTTAATACGTACGCAGAAATAAAAGAGTTTTTAAATGAAAAATTTATAAAGACGCATAACGTGATTTATGCGAGGGCAAAATTTAATTTGCGTAAACAAAAAGAAGGAGAAACGGCCGAGGAATACGTTAGGGCAATAACTACTCTAGCAAAAAATTGTAAATACGGGTCTTTAGAAGACGAATTAATAAGAGACAAACTAGTTGTCGGAATAAGAGACCAGAAACTGTCTGAAAATTTACAATTGGATGAACACTTGACCTTGGAGAAGACAATAATAAAAATAATGCAAACGGAAAGAATAAAATCCGAAAATACTGAATTACGCGAAGAGCGATATCAGGTGGACCGACTACAAAAACCAGTTCAGGGATCGATCGATAGAACGTCGGAGCGACGTAGATATAAACAAAACCAGACGGTAAGAAAAAAATGTTTTCGATGCGGCGATAAAAATGGCCATAAAAGAGAATGTTGTCCGGCAAATAAACAAACATGCCACAAATGTAAAATAACGGGACACTTTGCGGCGCAGTGTAAAACAAAGAAAGGAAGACAAATAAAAGAAGTAAAAGCGGAGTGTTCAAAAAGAAGTACAGACGACGAAGAAAGTTCGGGAAGTGAATATGAAGTAAAACGAGAATTTAGACGTGTTATTCGCGTGAATAGAATCGAAAGAGATCAACCCTGGGAAGTAGAATTAAGAATAAATTATAAACCAATTGTTTTCAAGATAGATACAGGAGCAGACGAAACGATTTTGAGCCATAAAACCTATAAAAATAAATTAGGACCAACATATGAGCTAAAACCGACAAACGCAACGTTAGTGGGGCCTGGAAGTTCAAAAGACGGATGTCAGCTGAAAGTTTTCGGTAAGGTTATGTTACCTGTTCAGTGGAAAGATAAAACTAAATTAATTAAATGTTTCGTGGCCGATACGAATGAGAATTTATTGGGTAGACCTTCTCTAAATAAATTAAAAATCGTTAAATGGCACAAGGATGAGCTGATGATTGGTAACATTGTTAAGTTAAATAAACAGGGTTACGATCAGAAAATAAAAAGCAAATATCTAGAAGTATTTACGGGTATCGGAAAACTGAAAAACTTTAAATATAAAATTCAATTGAAAGATAATGCGTTNACGTAATAAAAAAATCATTTGGATCCCAATTACTAAAGAAGATTTTTTCAATTTTATTGCCGTACTCCTACTTGCTGCTCGCCATAGAAAAAATAAACTTGTGGAAAATTGGTCGACCGATGAATTACTTCACACTCCGATATTTGGGAAAGTGATGTCAAGAAACCGCTTTCAAATGATATTGCGTATGTTACATTTCGCAGATAATGCTGAACAAATTCAAGGTGACTCTTTCCATAAGTTACGACGAGTTTTCGAAAAAATTAAAACTTCATTTGCCCATAACTTTTCGCCGTTCCAGAACTTAGTAATTGACGACAGCTTAGTATTTTTCAAAGGGAGGCTGTTCTTCAAACAATTTATAAAAACAAAACGCCATCGTTTTGGCATAAAACTATTTCTGTTGTGCGATTGTGAGACAGGATATGTTCTAAATTTTATCGTATATACAGGCAAGCAAACAGAAATAGAGCTATATCAAGATCTGGGAGTGTCAGGATCAGTTGTAACAACACTAATGCAACCTTATTTGGATAAAGGGCACTCTCTTTTTACAGATAATTGGTATACCTCGCCAACACTTTCTACCTACTTATTTCAGCACAAAACGAACACATGCGGTACGGTTAGGACAAATAGAAAGCAAATGCCAAATTTATCAGGTAATTTGAAGAAGGGTGAGACAACATCGATGGCC